GGAATACAGGCATGCGCCACCACGCCCAGCTGATTTTTTTGATTTATTGTAGAGATGAGGTCTCGCTACCCAGGCGGGTCTCGAACCCGCGGGCTCAGGCAATTCACTCACCTCAGCCTCCCAAAGGCGCGGGATTACAGGCTGAGCCACCGAGCCCGGCTATGGATATCTATTTTAATGGACATTGTGGTTATCTTGCCAGCATCATTCTCCCAACTTCCCACTTTTGAAAGCACCTAGAATTTTGTGGGTTTAAGAAGAAAGTTGACCCTATACCAGGTCCTGGAGTGAACCCTGATTGACTTATACTGATTTCTTATACCTTTTACTCCAGATCAGGGTCACTGGTTCACGGACAAGCATGTAACTTAAATGGGCCAGTTAATGGGAATCTTAGGATTCTTGCTCAGAATGCTGGGCAAAAGAAACTTCTTTTCTACTGCTGGAAGTGAACAAGGAAGCATGCTGCCCCCATTGCTGCTTGTGGTGCTCCTGAAGGAAGCAGCTTGACATTGAAGCCTAACATTGCAGAAAGCACCAAGAGAGACCTGGAAAGAATCTGAGGATTTGATGACATTGTTGAGCCTCTACATGCCTACTTCGACACTTTCCCTCCTTATTTGAACAATTCCTAATGTCTTCTAAGTGCTATTTGCTGCCAAAAGCATACTATTTTTTCTCGCTGTCACACTACAACAATCAACACAGAAGACTTCTGTGACCAAATGTGTGGGGATTTCTCTCAACTAACAAGCAAGCAAACAATTCTGCAGTAGACATTAAATGGGTGTCCTCCAGTTCAATTCTGACACTATCTACCCAGAGGCATCATCAGATCCCACAGGATGAGGGCTCAGTCCCAAAAGACTGTCCTCCAATTCTGAGGCCAATTGCAAGCCTCAGGTTGTTTTACCTATATTTCTGGCTAACCAACTATAAATTGGAACTCCCATGACTCCCTCCTTGTGTTCAATTAATTTGCTAGAGTGGCTCACAGAACCTAGGGAAACATGCTTACCAGTTTATTATAAGGGGTATTTTATTAGCTGGGCACGGTGGCTCACGCCTGTAATGCCAGCACATTGGGAGGCTGAAGGCGAGTGGATTGCCTGAGCTTGTGGGTTCGAGATCAACCCGGGCAACTTGGCAAGACCTCATCTCTACAATAAATAGAAAATTAGCCAGGTGTGGTAGCACGCACCTGTAGTTCCGGCTACTTGGAAGGCTGAGGGGGAAGGATCTCCAGAGCCCAGCAGATCGATGCTAGGGTGGCCGTGAGTGTGCCACTGCACTCCAGCCTGGGCGACAGAGTGAGACTCCAACTCAACAAAAGTAAAATAAAATAAAATGGCATTCTAGAAGAGGGTACAAGCTTGTTCTAGAAGGCAGTTTCTGATCCCAAGAGGATGTGACCTACAGGGCAAGGAATCAGAGAAAGCCCAACATTTCTGCTCCTTGGTATTCCACTCACATAGCTCACATCCAAAATAAGTGAAAAGAAGTGTTCAAACAAAATGTATGTAAACATTCAGAAACGACATCTTTCACAATAGCCAAAAGGTAGAAACAACCCAAATGTCTATCAACTGGTGAATGAATAAAGAAAATGTGATATATCCGTAAGATGGAATATTACTCAGCCATAAAAAGAGTGACACATGCATACAACCAATATGGATGCACTGTGAAAACATTATAAATAAAAGAAATCAGATAGAAAAGGTCAGCTAGTATATGATTTTATTTACATGAAATATTCAGTATAAGCAAATCCATACAAACAGAAAGCAGATTAGTGGTTTCCAGGGATGGGGGAGGGGAGAGTGAAGGAATCAAAAGTGACTGTCAATGGGTACAGGGTTTTTTTGGGGGTGATGAAAATGTCCTGTAATAAAATAGTGGTGATTGTGAATATACTAGAAACCTTGAATTGTACACTTTAAAATGGTCAAAATAATGAATTTTATGTTAAATATATTTTACCATAAAGTTATAAAATATATATTTATACACACACACACACACACACACACACACACACACACACACACAGTGTTTACAGTCAGCATCTTGCCGTCACCCAGATTGGAGTGAAGTGGTGTGATCATAGCTCACTGTAACCTGGACTTAAGTAATCCTCCCACTTAAGCCTCCCCAGTAGCTAGAGCTATAGGAGTTTGTCTTTTTATTTTTATATTATTCTACATTTTTTGAATAGGAGTCTCACTCTGTTGCCCAGGCTGGAGTGCAGTGGCATGCTCACAGCCACCACAGCCCCGACCTGCTGGGCTCAGGCGATCCTTTTGCCTCAGCCTTCCAAGTAGCTGGAACTGCAGGCATGAGCCACCACACCCAGCTAATTTTTTGATTTATTGTAGAGATGAGGTCTCACCAAGTTGCCCAGGCTAGTCTCGAAGCTGTGGGCTCAGGCAATCCTCTCACCTCTGCCTCCCAAAATGCTGGGATTACAGGTGTGAGCCACCATGACCAGCCTAAATTCAAACTTTAATTTATTTTTAATTTTAATTTTTTGTAGATATGGAATCTTGCTATGTTGCCCAGACTATAAAATATCTGAAATATAAAGAATACTTTTTAAAAGCACCTTTGTAATACTATTCAATTAGTCAAATCTTAACATGGTTTGCTATATTTGCTTCTGATTTTTAAAAATAAAATAAAAGGCATACAGATGAAACTCCAGTGTAAAATTTCAAGAATTAGATCTACGTATATTGTTTCTCTACCATTTTCCTCTATTGTTGATATGGATGGAATTGTGTCTCTCCAAAATCCATATGTTGCAGCCATAACCTCCAATGTGATTGCATTACGAGACAGGGCCTTTAGGAAGGTAGTTAAGGTCAAATGGGGTTATAAGGTTTGGATCCTAATCCCATAGGACCTTATGTGTCCTTATGAGAAGAAGAAGAGACATCAGAACTCTCTCTCTCCCTGCCAGCACAGAGGAAAGGTTATGCGAAGACACAAAGAGAAGGTGGCATCTACAAGTCAGGAAGAGAGGCCTCACCAAATAGCAATGCGGGTAGCATCTTGAGACTTCTAGCCTCCAGAACTGTGAGAAAATAAATGTCTGCTGTTTAAACCACCCAGTCTGTGGCATTTTGTTATGACAGCCTGAACAGACTAATACAGATTTTAAGGTCAATGGAAAACTACAACCACCCAATTCAGGCAGGACTACTAATGCCTGGAACCCTTCAGGAATAAAGTCTGGGTCTCACCACCAGGTAAAGAACCAGGACCAGTTGAGGTCCTTGCTGAAGACAAAGGAATACAGAATTGACCATAGAAGAAGGTAGTTATATATTTTTAAAATTTATTTATTTTTGAGTTGGAGTCTCACTCTGTCACCCAGGCTGGAGGGCAGCGGCACGCTCCCAGTCACTACAGCCTCGACCTGCTGCACTCAGGCGATCCTTCTACCTCAGCCTTCCAAATAGCCAGAACTATAGGCACACACCACCATGCCTGGCTAATTTTTTGATTTATTGTAGAGATGAGGTCTTGCCAAAATCCATATGTTGCAGCCATAACCTCCAATGTGA